CTAATCTACACAGCTGCGCTCCATCAATTGTCATGCCAAGCTGCTGAATGCCGGCAGGGTGAGCGGGCCCAGCGTGAATTTAGGACATGTTGGTCCCGGTATTAACACACAAAGCCCAAACACGCTGATCCCCGGTGGTTGTGTTCTATTCCTGGCGCACTAAAAGTGGAGGAACACGAGAAGATAATGTATTGTGTACCCAGCAGATAAGAGCGCTGGCATGTAACCTTCGTCCTTTTATCTCCGCCAGCCGCTCTCATCTCTGGCACCGCAATCAGCATTGTGATAGAAGGCGGCAATCTGGGATATATATAGAGACCCGCCACTGCTGGTGTTGCCTTAAGTAGGCATGAGAGACCAAAAAATCTCCAGCCTGATGTACTAAAGAACATTTGCATATGTTGTCACATGTTGTCACATTAGGGTTGCCACCTTTTCTTCAAGCAAAACCCCGAACACTCTAGTAGCCCCTATCTTAATTTTGGTTGTCCCTGTCTGCCCAACATTTCTGCTGCCATGAAACCCGGACACAGCATTCAAAACCCGAACTGTCCGGGTGAATCCTGGACAGGTGGCAACCCTATGTCACATGGACATATCTGCAGGACAATTTGCGGGGAATTTATCGAACCCGGAGCCCACAAAATCTGGGGCCCATGGCAACCAATCAGCTTCTCTCTTCAGCCTGTTCAGTTAAGCTTTGAAAATGAAAGAGAGAAGCTGATTGGTTGCCCTGGGCTCCAGTTTTGATCAATTCTGCTCTTTGTATGCGACACATGCGAGATGCACACCTCAGTTAGGCCTCATTCACACACAACGCAAGCAAAATTGTATACTGCGTATACGCGCGTACATACGAGCGTATATGCGTATATGCGTGCACTATATGCAATCCCAGAATGCATCACTCGTAATGGAATTTTTTATGTGCTGTACGCATGTACGCGCGTATACGTGCGTATAGACGCGTATATGCGCGTCAACACGCGTATATACTCGGAAACACGCGTATATGCGCGTAAATACGCAGAAATACGCTGCCCGGACGCATTTCTGTTCCATTCTGTTTTCGCGCATATATACGCTACGCAAATATACGGCTCTATACGCGGCTGTGTGTATGGAGCCAATTATTTGCATAGGTTGCATATGGTACAATACGCACGTACGCGCGCATACGTGCGTCAGTGTGAATGAGGCCTAACAGTGACGTGCAGCATATTCACTAACAATGGGGGGTTTGGTAAGCATACGCAGCACACAATATAAAACTTTGTATCCTTCACGGCTGCCAGGAAAACTGAGATGTTTGCTGTGAATGTGAATTGTTACAATGTAATCACCACAGGATACATTGTATCAGATTGTAAGCTCCCACAGGCGGGGCCCTCCTCCTTACCATGTCGTTTTTAATTATATTATAATGTCTTCCTTATATTGTAAAGCGCTGCGCAAACTGTTGGCGCTCTATAAATCCGGTATAATAATAATAATAACAGACTCTACATCTCAGCGTACATTCCAACAAAACAGAATGAACAGTACAAATATTTTTTTATTTTCTATTCACTGCCAGACAGATTTTTCAAAATATAAAAACATCCTTTTATTACATATAATGAAACATCAGAACATCCCCACATTGTCCCAAAGCCATACAGACCTTTCCTGCATGTTTATAAACACACAATTTAATTATATTGGACCCATTGCAGTGAATAAATAACATGTAATCACTGTTGTGTTGGAATGTAAACTGTGATGTAGCGATTGTGTAACAGAGGATGTCATATGGTGATTAAAGGGTTATTAACGGAGAACTATGAGGGGGGTGATTTCCACTCCCCTCATAGTTCTAGCCGACCTGTGACAATGAGACTGTCACAGGTCGGCTCAGTAGATCGGGAAGTGAGCGAACACATACCGGCGTTCGCTCACCTCTCGATCCTGTCACGGCTCTCTGCCGTGACAGGGGGAGGGGCTGGATTCCCCCCTCCCCGCTCCGATCCGCCAGCGCTGACTGGCAGAACAGACGGGGGGGGGGGAGGGGGCGGGTACAGCTGGCTCTGCCTCTAGATAGGCAGAGCCAGCTGTCACTCACGCAGCTGGGCGGATCTCAACATCGATGTCGGGATCCGCTCCGGCTGCGGCGTCTCAGTATACCGCGAGCTGTAGCTCCCTATATACTGAGCTTAGGGTGACGGGAGGACGCTAGTTTGTGCCCTCCCGTTACCCTAAGGAGAACTATGGGGAAAAGCCCCGACCCCATAGTTCTGCTTTAAACCCTCGGTGGTTTTTGCATATATATAAGGCTAGCAAGCAGGAGATATATGCAAAACGATTGAAAAAAAATAAACTTTTTGAAAGGGGTTAATACTTACCTGTGTCTCCGCCGCGCGCTCCCGTCCGAACATCTGAAAATTTCTCAGGCGGCTGCAAAGCATCTTGGGGCGGGCGCATGCGCAATTCAGATGTTCAGCCGGGAGACGAGGAGAGACACAAGGTAAGTCTATGGAGCAGCGTGCACCCGCACAGACTCCGTGGGACATGAGAGAAGAGGAGGACAGAGGAGTCAGCGCTGGAGGATCGGAGCGGGGAGGGGGGAATCCCTCCAGGGAGCGGTGAGTGACAGTCACCGCTCCCTGCAGGGAGATGATCGAGAAGTGAGCGAGCGTCGGTATGTGTTCGCTCACTTCCCGATCTACTGAGCCGACCTGTGACAGTCTCATTGTCACAGGTCGGCTAGAACTATGAGGCTGAGTGAAAATCACTCGCCTCATAGTTCTCCTTTAACTTGAATGGTGGCAGTGGCCACTTCTAAAGTGCATATTTGGGGTTCCTGCTGCCGAAATTCATAGGTTCCTGCAGGAATCCCAAAATGTACATCCACAACTAGTGTGAATGAAGCCTTAAAGAGGAACTTCACCCAGATCTTGACAATAACTACAAAGAAATGTTTGACCCTTTAGAAATGTTTAGTAATGACAATCTACACACAGATACTTCTAGATAACTGCCGGCTTTGTATTCCTTTCCTCCCCATTCTTCTCACAGCGGCCATTTTGAAAGGCAGTTTACTAGATCTCCCTTTACTTCCTGGAACTCTGGCACTTGTGACTACGACATGTGACCGTGCACATCCTCTCAGGGGAGGAAAATACCTTTCCCGGAGACCTCCTCAGACTACAGATGAGATTTCAGAGCAATGTTCTGCTGATGTCACCTTCCCAGGATGCAACGCTTTGGCACGTTACATCATTTGTGCCAAAGTGGACCAGGAAGTGGGAAAAAAAATAAATTGTAATTAAAATGAAAATATGTTTGTTTAGCCAATGAATGGAAGATGATTTAATATCCGCATGCAGAGCTGAATGATGATGTGATTTTTAGTCAAAGGGGGGGTAAAGGTCAGCTTTGAGCCGGGTATACAGAGGATGAACTTCGGACAGTTTCTGATGAAACAGCCAAAATTCACACCGTGGGTACCGCTGTTGGCACCCTTCCAATAAGCACCCTTCAAATAGCTGATTGGAGGAGCCAGTTGGAAAATTTGCGGCCAAATTGAGCCAGCAGCCAGTCAATTGCAAGGTCCGTTCCGGTATGCGACTGGCGGCCGCTGTCAAAATACAATGCACACAGCGGGGGATTCCTCCGTCACCGCTCATAGTCATCGATGGAGGAATCTGTTCTATTTTTTTTTCCGCTCTGCCCATGGATTGAACAAAACAAAATAGAGACGTGTATACCCAGCTACAGCGGGGGGGCCAAACATTGATTACTCAATAGACTATTGACAAAGGAGTTGGGCCAACTATTGTCGGTGTAGAAGTGACCGCGTACATTAGATGTCAGTTGTAACAGTAATGTCAGCCAATCAGCTACAGTCGCTGTTCTGGTATTCTGACAGCGCTGGCCCCCGGACGTTTAGCCTGGATGGAGGAATCTGTTTGATTTCTTTCATTGATTCTGCAGGTTGAATGAAAGAAATTGATAAGTGAATGGCCAGAGAGGTGGGGGAAGGGGAAGGGGGGGGACTGGAAGATAGAATAGATATATAATAATAGGACATTGGAATGGAAAGACAATGGCGGATTATCCAGTAAAGGTTACCCGCCGGCCAATCAGCAGTTCTGGAATTGGACCACCAAGAAGAAATCATCTGACGCTTGTGAACTATGTTTATCCTGGCTGAGGTCGGGGCCCTTGTTCCACCGGACAGGTGGAGGATAAGCCATCGTTCCATTGTCCAGGCTCCGGGCTTCTATATATAGAACAATACACAGACAATGCCTCCATCTCCGCACACGTCTCGGCCTGAGGGATGTACGTTTAGGAATCCTTCACACATTATATAATACATATTATAAGATAACACCAGGGAATCCTTCCCTCCACCCGTCCGGCTCAGACATTTATTGATACATTTATATCCCCGGATACATTTTTGTGTCTTTGTTCCCTTTGCGGTAGAAGAATCCCAAAAAGCTTCATCACATAAGATTCCCATTTCTGTCCTATTGCTGGAGACAAATGTAACTCTTCTCGATGGGGCGGAGCTATTGATAGAGAATAATGCCAGAGCTACAAAAATGAGGGCGTGTCCAAAATGTTGGTCAAGCCCCGCCCACAAATTCCACCATGGTGACAGTAGCGGATGAACTCTGTGCTGGACCTGGATGGATATTTCCAGCAGAATCCCCAAAGGTTAGTAAATACCGGGCTGCTTGTGCGGCTACTGGGTGAGTGAAGTTGGCCTTTAAATAGCCTCCACTTGTAGCATTGTCATGGTGAGCTCATGGTGAACTTATGGTGAGCTTACGGTGAGCTTACGGTGAGCTCATGGTGAACTTATGGTGAGCTTACGGTGAGCTTATGGTGAACTTATGGTGAGCTTACGGTGAGCTTATGGTGAGCTTACGGTGAACTTATGGTGAGCTTATGGTGAGCTTACGGTGAGCTTATGGTGAGCTTATGGTGAGCTTACGGTGAGCTTATGTGTACTCAGTCCTCTTACATGATATCTAGTTTGAGAAGTGAGCAATTTTGCATCTCTTAAAGGGATAGTACACCCCCAAAAAACTGTCTTCTGTAAAAGAGCCGTAATGTTCACAGCTTTGATTCTGAGAATAGTCCACCTGCTCCTCAGTCGTCCTATTGAAGGTGCGCAGCTATTGGGTGACCCTAACTGACCCTAAAATGGCTGATAACAGCAAACTGGGCTCTCCAGTTCTGCTATGCACACAAAACTGCACTCAGAGACTTCCTCCACCCCTCCCCCCCAGATCATAGACAGTTACTCAGTAAAGTGAAGCAGATAATGATCTGCTTTGCTCTGACCTGACTGGCAGCCACCCCGAGGTCTGCAGCCGGAGGAGGTGGAGAGCTGGAGGTCCTTTTAAAGCAGACTATGTCACCCAGCAGGCCCAGCTGCCTCAAGGACAACCAGAAGTATACGTTGGTTTAATTCTCAGGTGGACTCTTGTGATTTGATTTGCCCCGCTGGCTCTTTGTGCCTTCCAAACCTGTTTTTTGTACAGGGCAGACCTGATTGACAATAAATTCCCTGGAAGTCTATAGCCTGAGGCGGTCCACGCCAAGGTGAATTCTAGGACAGGAAAATACTTTATCACAGTTCTGATGTATTTTTTTTATTTTCTGCTCCTTATGACACATTGATGAGATTAGCCTTCACTTCCTGCCCTGGAGACACAACAGGAAGTAAGAAGAAGTTGAGGGGAAGTGCTCTGTTACACAGTTGTCACCAGAAAAGGTGTCCCCAGTTTGGCTGTAGACATTCTTTAAGGACTCCCAATAAAGGGGGCCATTTCCCATTGTCTTTCAATGTACGGGGGTCACTTCTGAACTGATCATCAATGTAAAGGGGCAATTTCCCATTGTCATCCAATGTACGGGGGTAAGTTCTACACTGATCACCAATGTAAAGGGGCAATTTCCAAATGACATCCAATGTACGGGGGTAACTTCTGCACTGATCACCAATGTAAAGAGGCAATTTCCCATTGTCATCCAATGTACGGGGGTAAGTTCTACACTGATCACCAATGTAAAGGGGCAATTTCTCATTGTCATCCAATGTACGGGGGTCACTTCTACACTGATCACCAATATAAAGGGGCAATTTCCCATTGTCATCCAATGTACGGGGGTAACTTCTACACTGATCACCAATGTAAAGGGGCAATTTCCCATTGCCATCCAATGTACGGGGGTAAGTTCTACACTGATCACCAATGTAAAGGGGCAATTTCCCATTGTCATCCAATGTACGGGGGTAAATTCTACACTGATCACCAATGTAAAGGGGCAATTTCCCATTGTCATCCAATGTACGGGGGTAACTTCTACACTGATCACCAATCTAAAGGGGCATTTTACCAATAGTGCAAGGGGATGCTACAATTTTATGATTTGTGTTTCTTTTTTGGCCTTTATAAATTGTTTCATTTGATCATTCTTGTATGTAGGGAAATACTGCAAAAAGTTTGATGTCTGGATAACTGATGCAGATTCCTGGAGCCCACTCGCTATCCCCTCCGCCCCGGAGTCGCGGCGGTAAAGGATGTGTTGTAAAATAATCCGCTCTGGGTGTAAAATGATCTAATTACATCATCGTGTCATTCTCCTATTTAAAAATCCCATCGCACTCCTGACCGGATAAAGCCCAAACGAAAAGTGGGGGGTGCCGAAAGTGACGGCGAATGCTTAAAAAATCCCATCGCACTCCTGAGCCCAAAGGAAAACTGCGGGGGGGGGGGGGCCCCCCGAAAGTGACATCGAATGCCTCCGCGCATCAAATGCAAAATACCATAAAGTCGCTCGCACTTCGTTTGTAGATCGCATTCACGTTCTACAACTCGCTGATCACACGAATGTACCGCGACTTGTAAAAAAAAATGGGGAACCCCTTCTAATAAAATTAATTAGAAGGGGTTCCCCCATTTTTTTTCGAGGGTTCCTCCGGGGTAAAAAAAAAAGATTGAGACAAGCTTATAAGAGGAGTGAGACTGATTGTGATGGCTTCTGGTTTGTTTTGTATCCTTTATACATTTGTATCCTTTTCCGAAAACGTTGACACAGAATTGTAACAAAAATGTAGCAACTGGAAATCTTCCTATTGATGATTCATAACTATCAGTGCGGAGTGTATAGCGCCCAGCGCGCAGTGGCGGTGTACAGAATACTCATAGGGGTGATAATGAGACCCCCATCCAAATGGCTACAGAAGGAAAACAGCCAGAAACCCGTTTGGGGAAATATTATCGCCCCCAAGAAGTATAAAAAGGAGATGAAATCTCAGGGAGGATCTCGCCTGGCACGCTGGATGATCCCCAATATATATATACAGTGAAGGAAGGAGACTCACCGCTGCCTTGTAGATGTCATCCATGGTGGCTGGAGGTGTGCAGATCCCGGGACAGGCGGCAGCGTGGGGATAACAATAGAAGGCTGAGCTTATATGTGTGACAAAAGGCCGTTCACATGTCACTCAGGGCCCATCACTGATGTCACTCCGCACTGCCCGGCCCACCCTTATTGGGAAACGCAGGCCACTAAACCCTCAAGCCTCCGCGCTGCTATTTATACACTCCGGGGAAAACCAAACATTCTTCGGTTTCCTTCTCTGATCCCGGGGAAGGCCCCCGAACTTCATCGACTCCCAATCACAAAGAAGGATCTGAGGGCCAGTTCGCACCTGTTCGCTCCGGTGCGTTATGCCTCGCGGTAACGCGCGTCGCATTGAGGACCATTCGACGCACCTGAACAGAAAATTGGGCATGTGCTATTTTTTTTACCGATGCATCGCACCGCGGCACACGAGGGGCATCGGGTGGACGAGTTGGGGCGCCGTACTAAAAAGCGATAATGGCACTTTACATTCTGAAACTGAAGCGGCTGCCTGAGGTCCCGCGCTTGGCGGGGGCTACCTTCTGGGCAACCACTTGGCACTGCTTACAGAGCTTCTGCACCGTGCACATAGCCATCCACACCCCTCCTGACACCCTCCACACCCCCTCTTAAGACCCCCTGGAGACATCAGGCAATCACCCCAAAGCCGCACAGAGTTTGGAGCAATTATTCTGCATTGCTGTATAATGCATTGCTGGGATTTGTAGTCCTCTGTAGCTGATGCCATTCAGCATTTCTGTATAATGTATTGCTGGGATTTGTAGTCCTCTATAGCTGGTGGTATTCTGCATTGCTGTATAATGCATTGCTGGGATTTGTAGTCCTCTGTAGCTGATGCCATTCAGCATTTCTGTATAATGTATTGCTGGGATTTGTAGTCCTCTATAGCTGGTGGTATTCTGCATTGCTGTATAATGTACTGCTGGGATTTGTAGTCCTCTGTAGCTGGTGGTATTCTGCATTGCTGTATAATGTATTGCTGGGATTTGTAGTCCTCTATAGCTGGTGGTATTCTTCATTGTTGTATAATGCATTGCTGGGATTTGTAGTCCTCTGTAGCTGGTGGTATTCTGCATTGTTGTATAATGCATTGCTGGGATTTGTAGTCCTCTGTAGCTGGTGTCAGTGGCAGAACTACCACGGTGGCAGCGGTTGAGTACTTGGGGTATTCGTAATATGAATGGTGAGCTCTACAGAAGCTATAATATGTAAAGAGGATTTGTAATATATTGAA